ATTTCTGTGCATCGTGCCATGTATGTAAAACCACTATACACATGATTAAGATAGAATATTGTGTTGTTTGATGTCTTAGAGTTCTGTGCTATTTGTCTCTGGATGCCCTTTGCTGTGTAAGTCCCTTCTAAGACCCTGAATAAAAAGTTTGGAATGCACATAAAATTAATAGTTTAAATCTTATAAAAGAGTTACACAAGCTTTGCACATGGTCATTCACCACCCAAAAATATGATAATAAAAAAATGTGGTACATAATTATTTTCTAATAGAAGTTACTATTGATGCCGGGACCATTGCAAATGATGGTTCTATGCTCATGGAATGTGCTTCCATCCTGCAGGGTAGACAATCTGATATTTGTGTTTCTGTTTGTCATTGACAAGATGAAGGCTGCAACTGAATGCTAGGATTTGAGCAACCATGAAGCCTAAGCAGCACAAAGCAATGTGTCCCATGTGAGGTGGCAAAAATGTGGGATGCTCCTATACTTTATTATGTGTGTAATAAAGAATTATAAATAACGACAACAGATAATCACTAGCATCTATCTTTATGCCATTTCATTATCACATGAATGGGGGAGAGTGGGCGTTGAGAGTTTTGTTTTTTTCAAATGAAAGTGCTTGTCCGCTCTAGAGCTTGCTAGCTTGTGTACAGTCACAGGCTACAACTTATTATTACAATCACCTACAATATAGATAAATATAGCAGTGGGATGCAAATGGAGACAGGTAGGAGGAGAGGTGAATGGTTTCAAACACAGACCCTTGCTCTCCTTTTGATGGATCATCTTTTGACCATTCATCTCCTCTTTATATAACCCACCTCATATCCTCCCAAAATGAGGAAGGAATAAAAATCATACCTTCTATTCCCATTCCATCTGTACAGCTCTGTGGAACATATTAAATAAGGAACCCATGGCTTTCCAGGTATTGTTGAACCACAACTCCATCAGCCCCAGGGCAGCAAAGCAAGTGGTCAGGGATGATGAGAACTGTATTTCAGTAACATCTCACATGTAAGCCACCCGTACATTAAGGTATGGCAATCAGCAAAGTAATCATTGTAAAAGCTTTGTGAAAGGGGCAGATGATGCTTCTAGCCAGAATGCAGTGTGTCTAATTCAATGCTCAAAAAGTTACTGAAAGATATTTGTACAAGGGCATATCCAGCTGTAAAAACCCTTCAAAAACAAGCTACAGTCTTAGTTGCCCAACCTTCCTTAATTTAGTCAGACTTCGCAAGCTCTCGTTTTGCTTAGTACATAGGCATGTTTTTACTAGAAAAAGGCAGAACTCTCCGGGTCTATAACAGAAAAGGTCTGTAATGGAAAAGCAAACCCACCCCACCAAGCAAATTTCTGCCAAATGTTCTGGCACCCATTATTTTGGATTCTACAGTCAAATATGCTGTTGACCTCTGAAGGGAACGGATGAGAACCAGCATTTCTGAAGTATCTGTGATGTCATAGACCTTGTTCCATGTCTACAGATCCAAAATGGTGAGGTGATATACCTGTAGTAGGGGATTCACATGCAGAAGGCTCCAATTTCAAGTCTTGTTGTCTTCAGGGCCTAAAACCCCGGAGAACAGTTGTCAATGTTGAGAATTGTTAGGAGTTATTAGGAGACCCTATTCCCTCACAGAATTACAATTCCCTGAGTTCCCTATGAAGAGGGATTGACTGCTAAACAATTCTGGAAATTGTAGCTCTGGGGAATAGGAGTCTCCTAACAAATCTCAGCACTCTTAACACACTACAGCTCCCAGAAACCTTTGGAAGAAGCCATTACTGTTTGAAGTGATGGCATAGCACTTTAAATGTTCTGTGTGAATGTGGCCTTAGAAACCTCCCCTTCCCACACACTCCAATAATCCCTCATTACTCACCTACCCCTGATATCCATGACAGTAATTAGTTTAAGGAAGAGAAGAGGCATAGCTGCATGCTATGCAATATGCGTAACTTGTTATTTGATCATGATTTATAGTGTTTAGATTTTATGCAATTTCTCCCATAATCTAAGAACTAAACTTAGGAAAAGTGAAAATTTTTGGATGATAAATGCTTAAACAAAAATTAAATGTGCCTCTGTCATCAAACCTTTATGCAAGAAGTTATTTTTACTAGATTTTGCTCTAGATGATTGATAGTCTTTCTCAAGAATTCCATATTAGTGAAAAGCATACTGTGTCACTCTCACAATCAGTAGGCAGATATATTTTGGGGGTTTTGAACAAAAAAAGGACTAATCATCATGATGCAGAATATATATGTTACTATATTTGTAATTTTAAAAAAAGAAAGTGAAAGAAAACCACACTGAAGCACTTTTTGTGGTAGACAGACACAAATACAAGAGTCAGGGACCATGCAGTGATCTTGCAGATCAAGAAAGCTTGCATTGCAGACAGACATATGCAAACAGTCCACAATTATGTTACTGGCAAAAAGCCTAGCTAGAATAAATTATACACATTTATACAGTATATTTTGGTTGAAACATTTTTTGTGGCATTGCTGCATGTCAATTTAGAAATTTAATGGTGAAATAGAACAAGTAGGGTGGGATGACAATGACACTGGGAAGGCTCCTAGAGCAGCCTTCTCCAACCTGATATCTTCCTGTTTTGGACTATAACTCTCATTAGCTGTAGCCAGCAGGGCAGAGTAGAGAAGGCGACTTTAGAATAATTAGAGTGCACTGCAATGAGAAGCAGTCTCATTGGTTCCTGTAATCAATACCCAGGTGTCCTCTGGTATCAGAGCCTGTAGCTGAAGGACACAATAAATCTGAGTACTGTATATAATAAAATTGTAAGAATATCATCACACTGCAGTTCATGTGGCCATCAACAGGTGGCCAAATGAACTACAGCATGATGACAAAACAGCAGGTGGGTGGCCCAGGCAGACAGGCGCAGCAAACAAGCAAGTAGGTGGAGCAGAGCCCATGCGAGCTACAGAGGGACAGGCAGGACAGGCGTCGGCTCCCCAGCAACTGTCTGGCCCTGCTGCCATTGTGTATCTCACAGTGCTGCTGCCTCAGCACTGTCAAAGGCCATGGAATGAAGCAGCAGCAGACTGTCCTGCCTGTTCCTCTAAAGCTCACCTGGGCTGTTGTTTGGGCGATCTGTAAGGGGAGGGGGTGCACAGTTTGGGCAATCTGTGAAGTAAGAAGGCAAATGGTTTGGCCAAGCTGTGAGGGGAGAAGTTGGTGAGCAAAGTGAGCAGGCATGACAGCTCATTGTATGCTAAGATGAAGCCGGTGTCTTACTTTTTAAACATATGATTCACACCAGAAGACAGCAACCTTTGAGGGGCCATGGGCATGTTTGTAAACCAGGCACACTGTTGTGGGTACCACACACACCAAAAAAGCACACAACCTATTCAGTTGGCTACAACAGAATGCTGATTTCAAGCTTAGTTTCACTGTGGGGAAGGCTGGGTACTCTGTGGACACCAGGAAAGGCTTCTGTGTGTCTATGGGTGCCATGCTGGCAACCTCTAATTTACACATTCATGTTTGGGCACAATGCTTCAGTTCTGGAACTCCGAAAAGGCCACCAGAACCCAATATTACCATCTTTAAAATAATGGTTGTGATGATGATGATGATTTATTTATTTATTTATTTATTTTAAAACACCTTTATTTTGGCAGACTTTAGTAGTATCATGGACTGATTTATTTACAGCCTTGTTTTGAATTTTGACATAGTTTTCATGGTTATTTAAGCTAATTAATTAATTACCTCAATTAATTAATTAATTAATTAATTAATTACATCAAGCTAATTACCTTGATGGTATAATTATTAAAGTAAGTGCCTGAAATACCAGGTCAGCCTATTTATGTATTTAGTGCAGTGCTATCTACTCTGCCTGGCATCAGCTTTCCAGAAGCTCCAGCAAGGGATCCTTAAAACCACATGCTGCCTGCAGCCTGATCCTTTTAACTGGAGATACCAGGGATTGAACTGCGGGTCTTCTATTTGCAAAGCTTGTGCACCACCTCCAAGCTATGGCTCCTCCCTGTTAACACCTTGGGTTTCTTAGAAGATAGGGGTATAAGTTGTATAAAGAAATAAAATTTACACAGTCTCCCATTTGCAGTAATTATATGACAAGCTCATCCTATAGTGTTCCCTCAGGATTAAAAACTATAAATTACATATAGTAGAAGTGCTGGAAGTTTCAGTTGATCAGCTTATCAAGCACTAGATGTAATCATCATATAAAGCAGAGATGGGGGACATGTAGTCCCCCCAGATGTTGTTGGACCAACTCCCATCAATCCCCAGCCAGCCTGGCCAATAGTCAAGGATTGTATGAGTTGGATCTGGAGAATCACAGGTTTCTCACTCCTAATATAAAACACGATTTTGTAAATTAACCCAAAGCACCTCCCAGATGTTTGCAGTAGAATGCTGGATTCCTTAATTTCCTACATGGTTCACACACTTATCAGAAAATGCTTCTTACTCAAAGAATATAAGGAAATTTTGGCTTAGAATTGAGACTGTTCATTGTAACACAGTACAGTAAAACAAGATTTTTGCACAAGATCTTTGAACGGTAAAAATCCTTACTCCCCCCTTATTTTTTTACAGCAATCTCTGAAAACCACATGCTAGCATCCATATGGATTCTAAGTAAGAGCATCAAGGAGTCATAAGCGGAAAATATCACCCTTCCCTTCCTATAAAGAGATCAGCATTGTGAAGAAGTTTTCTGTCTTTTGCCAAAAATGGATATTGTGCTATGTACAAAAATCTGTTCTTAATATGATCCAAAAACTAATCATCAGTAAACATGGCTGATGAAACCCTCATTATCAGCAATTGCCCGTTCAGACTATGAGAAAGCTTACACAATATCAAATAGGTCTATTATTGTCCATTTCACACTGCTGTGGTTATTTGAGTTAGTCCAAGATCATTGGATTCCTCTCTTCCAGGAGGACAGTAAGATGACATTTCCACAACTAGTCATACTGGCTTGTTTGTACCATCAGCCTCCCTGGAATAAGCAGGATCTTGAACGGTGTTTCTGACTCTGCTGGTGCTTTGTCTGTCTGTCTTCATCTTAAAGGGAAAGCAGAAATCTTTGAAACACCGTTTGAAGTTTTCATCCAGGAAAGCATACAGGATGGGATTTAGACTGCTGTTGGTGTAGCCCAAAGCTATGCAGAAATAATAGCTGGAAATGGCCGCAGTGCTGTGTGACACATCTCCAAGGGCCTCGACCAAGACAAAAATGTGGATTGGGGTCCAGCAGATAATGAAAACTGCAACCACGACAAGAACAAGTCGAGTGATGCGACGGAGGTTTCGGTCTTTCTCTCGGGATCCAGAGAGGAGCCGCACACTCTTCAAGCGCAGAATCATCAGAGTATAGCAGATAACTATGATTAGCACTGGGATAACAAACGCAAAGACAAAGACACAGATTTTCATAAAAGTGTCCCACCAGGCATAATCTTCATCTGGGAACTGCAAAGAGCACTCTGTACTGCCTGTGTCTGTAAATGAAAAAGCCAACAAGAAGGAAACACAGGAACAGATTAAACTAACAGTTTAACAGTGGGTTGTTGTCTTTTTTAAGTATGCATGTCATGAGAATTCCAAAATAATGTAAAAAAAAACTGAAGGAGAGTCTCCACCCCCATCATTTAGCCTGGAGACTGAGATCTAGCACCGATGACCTTCTGGCAGTTCCCTCACTGAGAGAAGTGAGGTTGCAGGGAACCAGGCAGAGGGCCTTTTCAGTAGTGGTGCCCACCCTGTGGAACACCCTTTCATCAGATGTCAAAATTTTGACTTTTAGAAGACCAGATGTCTTTTAGAAAGCAGCCCTATTCAATGAAGTTTTTAAAGGCTGGTGTTTTAATCTGTTTTTAATATTTTGTTGGGAGCTGCCCAGGGTGACTGGTGCAACCCAGTCAGATGGGTGACATATAAATACTGTAATAAAGTTGTTGTTGTTGTTATTGTTGTTGTTGTTGTTGTTACTAATGTGATTTCAAGACTTTCCACTTTGCACTGTTAGGGTCAGGTGTTCCTAACTGGGTCTTCACTTTCTAATTGCAGTCCCTTATCCTCTGTGCATTCCATAGTTTGCTCAACTTTGCTTTGTGATGTTAGTGCTGATCTGAGAGGGTGAACTTTCATGTGCCCTTACGAATGTATTTCAAACAGAGAGTTTATTGTCTCTACCTGAAGGCGATTCTGTATCTCTCTAATGAACTGGAGCTCTTTCAATTATGGTGGTTAGAAAGAGATGTAGCTTTTAGAAGGGTTGTTCTGTAAGTAATGAGGAAGAACAGCTGAGAGTGGGAATGCATGATTTACAGAGATGAGAAATTCATGATGCTGAAGAACAAATATTCTACAGAGTAATATCATGCTTCAACCCACTCAACTGAACCGATGGTCTTAACAGGCTTTGCTCCTCCACAACAAATTGTGCTTTTTGCATTCCTGATATTAAATTGACAAGAAAAACACTGAAAGCATGGAAGCTGCTGAAAAATTATACATGGAGTAGTTAGCCCTGTGGGAGAGGGAGGGGGTGGAGAGAGAGAGAGAGAGAGAGAGAGAGAGAGTCTATCACAGAAACAAGCCACAACCCTCACTGCCCCTGTTCCATGAGTGCTCTTGACTGTCTGGAATGTATCTGTGAAGTGGGACAGTGTCTCTTGCTTACCTGAATAAAGAGATGGGTGTGGGTGTAGAAATCTCAGGCTTTTGTATTGGCTGGAATGTAGCCTACTGTGCAAAAGAAAGAGTCACATCCATTTATCCACCCACTTCTGCCTCTGACCATGCTCACCACAATCAGCCTGCAGCCCCTGAAAGCTTAGCAATAAGGGAACATGGCCATTGGGCTAAGAAAGGTTCTGCACCTTGGATCTAGTGTAAATCACACAGTGTAAAGTATACACGGAGGACAAGTTCAGGCTGTGCACACACCACGCATTTAAAGCACCCCTCCCCCCCAAAAAAAGAATCCTGGAAACCATAGTTTACCACTTAGAGAGCTACAATTCTCAACACCTTTAACAAACTACAGTTCCCAGGATTTTTTTAGGAGCGTGTGCCTTAATTGTATAGTGTGTATGTGACCCTAGTTTGGATCCCTCTTTGGGCCTCTGGAAAGTGGATTGCTTTTCCTCAGACCACTTTGGGCCAGACCTGCTTAGACTCAGGTCCAAAGTGGAGGCCTGCTTCAGAAATTCAGGGCTTCCTCTGTCTTCCCACAGTCTACCATGAACATGGGGAATTGAACCAATAGTGGGTTGTTGTTTTTTGCAGAATTTGTTGAGATTAGAAACTATGAGTCTTCTTGTTTGCTGCTGCTTGTTTATATTGTTTTACTGTTTTTAGTGTACTCTTCTCTGATCTCCTTAGGGAGGGACAGTGGGATATAAATTCTTGGAAATAATGATCACACTTTCTGGCATAGTAACCCCTTCTAATTGGATTAACCCTGCCAGTGGCATTGTGTAAGGGGAGTTTTTTTAAATCTGGGAAGGAGCAATTCACTTTCCCCCTGCACTTTTGGGGACTGTATGAATATAGCATAGGTTACAAAAGCACCCAAGGTAAGTAGCATGCAATTTTTTAGAAGGATAGGTGCAATGGTTAGGTGTTACGATGAATGGGCTATAAAACATCAAATCCTGAAACCATACATGTCAACATAGTTTGACTGACTTCAGGCAACCACTGCAGAGTGACTCACCTGATAAGAGTACCAATGGGTTAATAGTGATTATATTTCGTAGCATAATATCATGTACTTTTCATTCTAAGTGCTTCTGAATTATAATCTAATGGGTATCGCATAATTATTCACTGCATATTAACAAGGCTCAATCGTGGCTGTGCTTTTCACACACAAAGTTCCAGCTACATAATTTAACAGATGTGAACCAATGCATTTGGATCCTTTTCAGGATCTGGTCTCATTCAGCTCGTTCATCACTGCAGGGCCCATGAAAGATACACCATCAGCTTGAGGGGTTCAACCAGTTTGCAGATTTCTGTTGCATGCAATTGATTCATATGGATGACGTTTTGGTGAGAATGTGTGGTTGCCAGACTGCTACGTATGTTACAATTTCGTATATGAATCAGGGTGGGCTATTTTTTCTTTCACACAGGAAAGTAAAAACTATGAATAATTTTTTGCATTTATGTAGTACAGTTTTGTAAAAATACTGCATAGATGTGTGTGTGTGTGTGTGTGTGTGTGTGTGATCTCAGCAATCATTAATAGCAATTGTAGTATTATTCTCATATTGTTAAAGGGGTAGGAGCTGAGATTTTCCTAATAAGTGAAACTTGTCAAAGTCCATCTACTGTCAAAGTCCATCTCCTGAAGGCAAGATTTAAACCAGTGAATTCCTAATGGGAAAGGGCCATAACAGAACATCTGCTTTGCTTACAGAAAGCCCCAGTTCCAATCCCTGGCATTTCCAGGTGGGACTGGGAATGTCCTTTGAGATGCTGGAAAGTCACTGCCAGTCAGTGCAGAGTCTACAATGACTGGCGGCAGCACTCCATAATTTCAGTCAATATGTAGCTAGATGGACTAATGGGACAAAGCAGCTACCTTTGTCCCTACAATCAGCATCACACCTTAATCTCTTAGGCACTGACCTATACTAGCTTTCAAGTAAGAGTACTGTATTGGAGGCTAGATTATTTTGCAGTTGCAACCATGTTCACTAGAAATCCATCTTTTGAAAAAGGAAAAGGAGCAGTTTTGAGGATTCTAGTAAGAACAAGCCAAGTGCATAAAAGCAGCTGGTATTCAAAAGTTAATTGTGTTAGTCTCCTCTATGCTTTTTTAAAAAGTTTATTATTGAGCAGGAACAAATCACCGGCAAAGAACAGAGCCCACACTCACCTTCCCTGACTTTGGTACCTCCGAGGACGATGGCTGATATGCCAACTGATGAAGATAAGAGCCAGATACATATGTTGATTATCTTTGCCTTCAGGGGAGTACGGAAGTCTAGAGCCTTCACCGGGTGACACACAGCAATGTATCGATCAACACTCATCATGGTCAGCGTGAATATGCTGGTAAACATGTTATAGTAGTCAATGGAAATGACTATTTTACACAGCACATCCCCAAATGGCCACGAGTTCATTAAGTACTCAGTACTTTGGAAAGGCATTGTGGTGGTTACTAGGGCATCTGCTAGGGCCAGATTAAAAATGTAGATATTGGTTGCTGTCTTCATCTTTGTGTACCTGCAAAGCAAGAAGAATTTTCATTATGTCATCCTATAAGTCAGTTTAGTTTTGAGAATGCTCTGAAAGAAACATTTAACTTTGACGTGAATTTAAATCGGGGGGCACTTTTCACTGAAGGTTTCCCAGACACCCAAAGTACTCCCCCCCTTTAAGTTACTTTTGTGTATGTGATGATGGTGCACTAACAGGGGTGAAAATGTTTCCCTATTAGGATTAGACCCTTTGGTTCTCCAGATGTTGGACTTCACTCCCACTCTGGGCTAGGCCAAGACATTTTGCTGCTTGAGGCAAAGGACAAAATTGCAGCTTTGAATACCACAATTCCATCTACAAAAGCAGGCTGGATTGGCAGTTGAACACTAGTGGTGTCAGTAAAATAGTGGGATGTAAGCAATGTACTTCTCGGCTAACTTTGTTGCCCATGTTTTATAATTAAACTGCTGGAATTCCCTTACAAGGACTTAGTTATATTTTCAATGGTGGTGGCTTGTCACTGAGAAACTGAGAAACCACTCTAGGATTAACATTATCCAAGTGATGCACAACCATTTGGCAAATTGCTTTAGCTGAAAAGTTAACAGGAAAACTGAAGGCTATGAAGGTTAAAAATATATAACCCTTTGTTTTGTTTTGTTTCATATGTTAACAGTTTACTTATATAGCTCAGTTGGTAGAGCATGAGACTCTTAATCTCAAGGTTGTGGGTTCAAGCCCCACATTGGGCAAAAGATCCTATGATTCCTCCATCAACTCATGGCAACCTATAGGAAGACTATAAGTTAATATACTGGATTTCATAATGAACACTATTGCAGCCAATGTACTGTGATTCTGTTTTGTTTTGATATTTGTTATTTGTATGTTCAGAAACCTTTCAATTAAAACATTTATTTATTTATTTATTTATTTATTTATTTATTTAAACACTTATGGGGTACTTTACCACAATGGAAGAAAGCAAGATAGTGTGTGAAGGGCAGGCACACACACAGTTCTATCTTCTGATTATTCATCCCCATCCCCAACCCACCAAGTATCTGCTGCCTGAGGCAACTGCCTCATTTTACCTAATGGTAGGTCTGGCCCTGTTCCCATTGTAACCCAATGGCCATGCTAGCTGGGGTTGATGGGAGCTAGAGTCCAACAACATCTAGTGGGCCACAGTTTTCCCATCACTGATCTCTGAGAAAGAAACAGAGCACTGCATTTCCAATGCAACTGGGCAATGTTCCCAGAAGCAGTTTCATTGTTTGGTTCAGCACTGCATAAGAAATACATGTTCCTGTTTTCCCTTTCCTACTTACCCCCCTGAATAAGGACAATGCTTCTTTATTTTCCCTCAGAGATGATGCTATATAGTCATATGTGAGTGCCTACACTGCCATATTTTAGCCTTGAGACAAAGGCATTAAGTCAATTGTTTAGTTAGAATCTGGGAGTGGCTGGAGAATGAACCCTTCTAAGAAAAGCAAGGGTGTTGTATTGCTTAATTACAGTTTTGCATTCTTCTCTGTGTGTTTCTTCCAATGTGTAAATTGTTGTATTGATTGTTGGCTTTATGCTAATTTCTCCTTTGGGTGTAAGTATCATGCAGCAAGAGAGAATAAAATAGTACTGGAGAAAAATTCAAGGGAAGAAAATAGTAGCTGTGGGAGCAATTGCAGGAGGGCAAAGACAGATTTATTTGGATTTTTCAGGCGACATTTCACATCTTCTGCAAGCCCACTTTTTACATTTTTCCTTTTATTTATTTTTTGCAAAAGAAAACTTGGAGCAGTTTTCAGTAGGCTACTGTTTACAGACAGAAATACTAGCATTTGCCAAGGCTTGTAGTCTATATATTTTATTTCACCCTTTAACTGATTTATTGCTGCAATGCTGTGTTAGCAATTAAATTTTACTTGCCAGCAGCAGAACTAAATTCATGAGCAATTTTAATTAGATTATGCAAATTAGTCAAGCCATCATAAAGTTGCTAGATTTATTTTCATGAAATAAGATCCAACAACAACTAAATGAGGATATAATTTTTTCAGCGGATAACAAGTAACACCCCTAGTGTTTCCATTCTTTTCAGGAACCTTAGTTGTGTTTTTTGCCAAGTGAGTGGTTGCCATTGATCTGTCAGCCTTTAGCAACATTCAGCACTACTGTACTGCCGTAAGACAAAATACTTAATGGACTGAATAGCTGAATATTGCCAGCTGGTTATATTACAAAATGTCACACATGCAAACAGTAGCATGATAATCACTGTGAATGTATACAAATGTAGGGCTTTTCCTAGTACTGGTCAAGTGGTGAATTATGAAATTCAGGCACTCTTCAGGACAATCCCCAAGCCATGCCCTCATAGTCATGTCCCTTCTAAGACTCTAGAACAAAAATGAATTTTTGACCAATTCAGACGTTATAACTTCAGTACCAACCCAGGTTACAGATTGCCTCCACTGGTGAATTTGCAGTAACTTCAAAGCCCCACTTGGCTCTTACATTGCAGCACAGCTTGAACTCAAGCCATGCTACAAAGGAGAAATGGTTCTCCTAACATCGTGGTGACATCAAGTGAATGGCACCTGGCCAGCCCTGTCCACAAATCAAAGTTGCCCACCGGTGAGGGAGAGGGGAGAGCCCAGGAATTTGCCTGTTAGCTGCAAAGAGTCCCCACACTCCTGCTTCTGATCTTCTATATTTTAGACAATTTATCTACAGAGTTCAAAATATGTTGGGCCCTGAGGCACAGACATGTTTACATATGGACACACACACCATTGTAGTTACTAGTTATACATTAACATAGCAGAAACAGTGACTTAAGGTTGTGATGGTGTAACAAAATTGCTACGCTGTTGTAACTTTACTACCCTATTGTTATTTGAAGTCATAGTTGGGTCGAGGATTTAGTTGCAAGCTTATCCTGTGTCATTTGGCAAGCATAATTTAGAGTAGCATTTCAGTGTTAAACTCTTTCATTCCACTTGTACTAGTTGAAACATGTGCAATTACACTGTCACCACCTCTATGAAAAATGGCTACATTTGAATTTTGTTAAAGTAGCAATACTTGAATAAGTCACAACTTACTTCCCCCATTGATTTCCATTAGGCTTCTATGATCTCTTTGCAGCTGTATTCTTAAAATTTGTATTGCTAGTCTGCAGATGGTATTATGCAGTAGCTGGCAACAACAATCTGCACGAAATCTGCAGTCATATATATGCAGTTTTCACAGATAATCAGGGTTGCAAATTGCAGCTGTTTGCCTTGATTAAAACTACTGTATATATTAAATGTTGCTATGATTAACACTAATGTTTAAGGACTGCAATTGCTCACTCAAATTAGCCTTTAAGTCAACATCTGGAAAACATACAACTAAATGACTGTTCATAAAAGAACATCTTTAAAAGAGGCAGCCAAGCATTTGCCCAAGAAACCCAAAGGACTTGCAAACTGGAAAATTAAAGGATTTCATTCACTTGCGACTGAAGCTTATGACCAGTAGTGGGTACTGTGGCTGCAACACCTACCTGACCTTCAGCCAGCTGCATCACTGCTGCTTACTGGGCAATAGAGGGAAGAGGGGAGGCAAGGTTGGCATAGTGCAAACTCACCAGGAAGAACACTGGATTAACTGTGTAAGTATGTTTGCACTGTGCCAACCTCACCACTGCCTCACTACTACTACTCTACCTCCCAATAAGCAGAAATGACATAACTAGCTGGAGGTCAGTTGAGCGGCACTGTCCAATCATGTCACCTGCTGCTACCAATGACAAGAAATGGTTAAGCAGGAAAAGTTTATTACCTGTTTTAAACCAGTTTCTAATCCAGAGGTGATCTCCCATCTATCCCACCACAAAGCTTTCTTAGGAGCTTTTGATGACAGACAAATTACTGAATGCAGCATCTCACTTTTTTTTTTTTTGGTCATAGGGAGGGATGGGAGAGAAATTTGATTCAGTTCACATTTAAGAGCATCCTTACTTAATTCTCACTTTCCAAAACAATATGCAAACCAAAATGCAAACAGATTTCCCAAGTCTCACCCATTCAAATTTTGCAATGAAAGGACTTCCGGGTTAGCGCCATCAGCTAATGGAGGGACTAGCTCCGCGGAAATTGGGTCTATACCGCTACGGCGAAGCGGGGACCCTACAGAAATCATAGGCGGGTGAAGCCTATGAACGTGGGACTCGGCGGGCACCCTTTGCACGCCCCCAACTCGCAAGGAGACCCGTTTACGGGCTTCGGAGCGGAGCGGGGTGAGTGGCACGGTGCTGTGAGTCAACTGCTTTTTTCGCAGAGCGAAGCCGCATAGCCGTTGCTGGAGAGCGCTGACTTTTTCTTGTGGACAATTGGATTTTAAACAACAACCCGTGAGTAGAACGGAAATTGGGCTTTTAAAGTATTTTTAAATTGGCACCGATCGGGGAAGGTCTAAACAGGAAGTCCACCTCCCCTTTCTGTAAATAAACTGAAGCAAAGAACTTGTTAACTAAGGTCGTGGAAAGTCTTACGTAAAGGATCTAAACTCCACTGATTGAAACTACTATCAATATCTTCTTAGAAGCAGGGAAGCCTGCAGGTGAGGGTTAAAATTTGGGAACTGAAGCGCCATTTCCCTAAAACCGGGAGCGGTCTGTGAGAGCCCGTTGACGGATAAATCTGACAGCTGTCAAGTTAGCTGTCAAGATACAAGCTAGCTATTAAGATATAAAAGAAGGACTTTGTTTCTACTGTCCGTTTCAGTATTCAAAAAGAAGGAAGGAATTGTTACAACCTTACGTTTGGGACCTTTGGGACTGTGCTGGAAGGAGTGATAAAAGGAACTTGTGTCCCTCTAGAGGGAGCTCTGGGATATTGTCGTAAGGATGCAGCTGGGAAATTGCTTAAGATAAAAGTTTTGAGAAACTAGTTTTGACCTTGGACTTCTTAAGGATGGCGGTCGGGAAGGAAGTCGAGTGTCAATTGAATAGAACATTTTATTTGTTGGGAAAGCTGCAAGACCAGATAAATGTTATGGCTACCAATGTTGTAACCTTGGGAACAAAAGTGGGCATTAGTAAAGAAGTTGACAAGAATCCGGCACAAGAATTTTTTCTAACTGAACAAATTGAAGAATCTGAGAAGGAGGAATCTGTTGTGATTAAAGTGATGCAAGGGGGAGCCGTAACCCTACAGAGGCAAATGGTGGACTATAACTTGAGGCCTTACATGATGGCAACTAGGAGGAGCCAGTTTTTGGAGATGGAAGCCCGGCTTGGTTTGGAAAATGAAAGATGGAGAGATCACTCTATGTGGAGATCAAATGACTTTTGGGACACAAATCTGAGTCAGGCGGAGGTTGGAGTTTTTAGGGCCTTTGGATTTGAAAGGAGTGTGAAACAAGATTTGGAATATCCTATAGGCCCTACTTCTAACTACGGAAGTCTGGCATACCTGCTAAGAAGGAATATGACTACCGACGGGTTGGAGCTTCACCGAGATCTGTTCTTTAACACCAAAGAATACCAAAAAGACCGGCAGAGGGGACATGAAAGAGATTTAAGAGCCTCGGACTTAAGATCTCCGGGTTGATGGTTTTCCGAGATTGATGGAACTATCGCTAGGGGCCGAAACCGGGGAGGGGAGTTGGTGAAAGAAAATTGGGAATTTAAAATGTATATATTATAATTTGTTTTGTTTTTTTTATCTTTTAATGAGAGATGGGAAAATCGTGGAATGGAATTTTTTCTGACCCTAGGGGAAACGTTTTAAGAATAAGCTTAGATATATAAGTTTTAAGAGAGATAAGATTAAATAAAGTAAAAGTGGATGATTAATTGGTGAAAGAAAGAATAGGAAAAGACTATTTACAGAAATACTGCAAAATTAATGAATGTTAGAATGATGTTGGATAGAAATTAACTGGTTTTTAGCTGTAATATTATAAGGGAATATGAAAAATGGATTATTAATAGGTAAAAAATTAATGTTACAATATTTTAAGATTAAAGACTAGGATAAACAAAGAGGGGAAGGATTTGCTGAACTAACAAATTGAATTGGAATACAAAAAAGGGAGGTGCGAGGAGGTCCGGGAAACAAGCAAATGAAAGATAAGTAATGGAAAGATTGAATTGTTTTTAACTACTTTTATTTTGTATTTTTCTTTTTTCTTTTTTCATTTTGTAATATTTTGAAAATCTTTAAAAAAAAATTGCAATGAAAGTTCTCAAGTGAACAAATGTGTACAAAACTCAAAGAAGCGTGCATATAAATATGCATGTGTTGGTGAAAATAACATACCATATGCCTTATATTAGGGAAATTTCTTTACAAACGTGTATATTTTGGGAAACTGTGTGTGTGTGTGTGTGTGTGTGTGTGTGTACTAGGAGAAATGTGCAGGAAAATGCTGATAAATTTACATGGGAACCTTTAAAAAAAATTGCAATCTGATGTGGAAATGTGGGGAACTGACCTTAAGACTGGACAAATGAGGAACCAAAATGGACATATTGTCCCATCCCTACAATACAATACAACAGTTCAAAAGAAATGTACTTTTGCATTCCAGTCATGCCGTTTCTTCTTCTGTTTGGTTGCTTCAGGCAATAGGAGCCGATGTGATAGGTTATGGTTTGTTTTTTTCATTAACACCAGCCCCAACATCTAATCCAACACAAAGCGCTATGGATAAGTATTGACTTAATAAGTGAGCTCTAATTCTTGCATTGCCAAATTAAGGCTCAAAGATGCAGCAAGGAAAAAAAATGGATATTGACTCTACTCTTTAATCTCAGGTACAAGGAACTTCTTTCTTAATGAGAACTCCAGAAAGAATATTGATCTTTGAATGGTCTCTTCTGAGGACCTAACTAGATGTTATGAGGAGGAAAGCTGGCAGCCATTATCTTATGTTTCCTGGGAACAACTAACTAGAGAAACACATGATGGGGCAGCAGCATGTTCCCCACCCATGCTTCACTTTAACTCCTGCTGCCGGGAGAGTGCTGGTAAATGTTGGATGTGATGATGTCTTGTCAGGTACTGTATTTCATTTCCTAGATGTTAATTAGGAGACTTGTTAGGAGAGAGGGGCCAGTGGCAGCCAGAGTTCTGCCGATATCTACACATAGGAAAGCCCAAAGATGTGAGACAGTATGTCCCCTGCTGTCCACCAAGTAGGGCTTGGGTATGAATCCCAAAGATAGGGACCCTAGAGAGAATGGGAGAAGGGGTGGTGCATCCTTCCCACTGTCCAGAGCCAAGTCACCCAACTAAGCACCCAAAATTTGGTGCCCCGACTTCTATAGGCTCCTTTAGTCATTAGCCTCTATGCAGTTAACATCACATGGACAGAAGAAGGAATGTCTGTGTGGAGGAACCCTGGTGAACACACGTAACCTCTCCCCATGAATCACGCTGGGTTCCAGCTCACAAACTGCATACATTTAGCCGGTTTGTGCCCAAAACATAGATAGAATGGGGATGAGGGACCTTTGTTTGACAGCAGATGTATGTGAGGATGTAATAGCCTACATCCATGCCATACCATTAAACCACTCTTATACCCCTCTGGCAGTCATGGCTTCTCAAGAATCCTGCCATCATCTTAAAACTGTTGTGGCAGGCTTTTAACCTGACATTCAGCCTTTCCACACTCCCTCTTGTCCTGCTGCTTTCTCCTAGGGGAAAGAGCTCTTTAGTATTCCACTAGAACAAACAGCAATTCATATTTTCTCCATATTGACATTTGCTCTGATTTATTGCCAAAGAGTGGGTTTCCCCAGGGAAAGTGGTGTGGCAAGGGCAAAATCTCTCGGATCCATGCATAGAAAGAACAAGAGAAGTGGACAACCCACTCCGATCCATGCTTTCTAGGCAAGGGACAAGCGAGTGTGGACAAGCCCCCATACACTGAGGACTATCTGCCTAGTTTTCCTGTTCCTTGAAATCGAACAGAAATACATATCTGCGAAACTTCCTTGCATTGAATCGTTTTATTATTTTAAGGCTAGTTTTTTTTAAAAAAAATGCTTTTGTTAGCTGCCTTAGTGCCACTAGTGATGTAGAAAGATGGGATATAAATTTCTTTTTAAAAAGTACTGAGGCATTCCATATTACCTTTTATATGCACTAGAACATATGAATTAGACTATATGGATTTGACCAGTCAGGCTGGATTAGACCAATCCAGGTGTTGCCTGTCGTGGGTTTTGTTGTGTATCATTTCAGACATACTTTGTATTAGTGCTTCTGTTTGAAAAACATAGCTCTTCTACATATCCATATGTACATGTTAATAGGCAGGGTTATATTACTCTTTTGAGTTAATAAAAAGTTAGAACCCTGTGCAGATTGTTATACCATGAGGCATGGATAACCAAGCAGTGCCCTCTTGATATTTTGAACTAAAATTCTACTCAGCCCCACTCAACATGGCCAGAGGTCAGGGATGCTGGAGTTGTAGTCTAAAACTTCTGGAGGACACCTGCAATAAGGAATCGTATGGAAGATCTCTTAATCCTCGTTAGTTTCTTTAACGGTTGTTTAACACTACTACACACACAGTGTGGTAGAAGTGTATTTTCCCTATATATTTAATACATTCTTCTAGATGAAATGGGCATTCTAATAGCCCAATCCCATGCAAACTCCGCTGGTGATTGCGAGTGTGGAACCCTGTATTGATATTTTTCCAGCAGAAATTTAGGCAGAAGCGGCAGAGAAACAGAAGTATATTTCTCCTCTCCTCTCATTGGGATTGTATCCATACTGCAAGATCTTCAAAAATGTTTCTTGTAAAGACCATTTTTTAACGCAGAAAATTATTCAAATCACTGGAGGCTTGTTAGATAATTAGGGAAAGTGGCTAATTTGGAGTCTGATGACAGTCATCTGCTCTTCCATTTAACTGGCATCCTGGGGCAATGGGCATCAGTACATTGAGGGAGTGACTCCAGAATTACTGCTGGAGTCACATCATTCTTATGGGAGCCATTACTAGTTGACAATGGCATCACAGTGGCAAATCCAAAAGGCTGAAGTTCTGTTTCCATTAGATGATGAAATTAGTGCCCATTCCCTCTCCTTACAAAAAAAAAAAAAAGGCCTGCAACATTTCCAGTGAACATCCTACTGTGACAAAAATATGTTAAAATAACACTTTTCTTGCACGTATGATTTCCAGAGTTAGAAAATGCATTGTATTTCTAAAGTTAGAAAAGGCATTAGAAAAGTGCCATTTTATTTTAAACCCAGTCTTGTTTCCTATAGAAATTGAGTCTCTAGCCCTGCAGAGATCCAGTTGGGTTCAGTTACCGAAAATAGTACAGTAAGACCTGTATACAAACTCCCGAAATTTATGACAGGAGGAGGGAAGTGACATTAAGAGACAGCTGATTAGAAAAGAGGAAATGCTCAAGAAATAGAATCCAGTTAGGAACAAGGCTTAGGAACCTAGAGAAAAGGAGCCGAGCCCACAGAAACTGTATGTTCACCTAAGGTGTACAGTTGTTACCCTAGGTGCTCTTAGGTCTCCTGACATTATACTAGGCGGACAGAGATTACACACTCCGGACCCTGACTGCATCACAAGCACAAAACAAGGACTCAATGAGGTAAATCCAGGCTACATGTCAAGGTGCATGCCTAACACATATATCTGCAGCATATTATTAAGATACTACATGTTTAGAAGAATTTTCAGAAAGCATTTGCCCATTTTTCAGATGGGGAACTCTGAAAAGCCGTTAGTGAAGACATGACACAAAACCCATTCAAAGAGAGAAAAAGGAAAGGAAAGAAACACTGAAGGAAGTGAACTAACTTAGCCATCATGCTAAGCACCATTTCAAGGACTTCAGTAATTAGAAGTGAGATCCTACACAAGTTACTCCAGAGAAGGAAGCCCCATTGCGCTCAGTAGGATCTGTTCCCATGTCAGTGTATATAGAGTTGTAGCCAGTCAAAGTAATTAGGCACCTGGAAAATCATTTTTCTGTTGCACACAATCATTCTTTCCGCAAACAAACAGAAATGTATACCTTCTCATAGAGACACCCGCTCCCATATGAATACAGAGAAACTCAGTTTATAATGCCCCCTTCCACACAGGCACAAAGAAAGCTTCTCTATCTCACACTCCTCATTTAAAACGCATTAGAAATTGTTTGTATAATTTAGAAGTTTATAAGATCCAGTGTTTCCCCTCACATAAATTTTGTGAAATACACATTTTCCCACTAAAACATCCATTTATTGTGCTGATTTGGAAGCACTTCCTCTGGAGGACGGCAATGAATTGTTAATGTTGTGCAGGTGTCTGCTTAAATTTATTATTCAGTATTGTTCACTGTTTATATTTTTTGCTTTGTTTTCTCCACCCCCTTTTTACCTGTCTGGCTTGCTGAGCACTGATTAGCTCCCCCCCCCAAAAAAAACCCCAACATGATTTAGCACCAAACATTCCAAACTGTGGGATTTGAGCAGCTGGAAAGGATGCTGCCAATGATTTTGATCACAGTATGAAGCACACCAGAAATTTAGTACAGAAAACTGACGGCTTCCAAAACTGGTAAAATATTTTTTGAAAAAAGATAGTGAAAAAGCAGATGGCCCAAAGATAAATGACTGGGAGATCTGCTACCAACTCTCTCTGGATGGTAAATTTAAGAAAGCTATTGAAAACTCTAGTTTTGATTTGAGAAGCAGTGCTGGGAGAAAAGATATTTAAGATATTCCACTCCCAACATCATTGTCTCCATCTCAATTTTCCCCATCCTGAAGCTCCTATTAGCTCTGCTGGGGGGCAATTCAGTTAATTGTATGCTGCCTGCATTTTTCTTTTCATATTACAGCTACCATTAGCTTTGGGGGAGGGCATTTTCGATCAGGGAAGTGGCATGTGTTGCAAGATTAATCCCACTTCTACAGCATCAGGGCTTCAATCACAATCAAGGCTCACAGCAGATGTTTGAAAGAAAAAAAAGAGCAGTCAAGAAAATTGATCCAAGATTACCTGTAGTGTATCTATCCCCCCCCACCAAAAAACATCCATCAAGTATCCTGTAAAAAAAAGATCTGCAATTTTATGTGCACTTATATGATAGTTCATGCTATTCATATTCAGAGTGTTGAAATCAGTTGCATCTCTCTCTCTCTCTCTCTCTCATACACACACAAGAGAGAGAGAGAGTCTGTGTGTGTATTTCCCCACCCTCCACAACCCCATCCTCTGAGTGCAGTCTTCATATATGAATGATTCCCACAAGCTCAACAGAATACCTATCCCCTCACCAGGCATGGGCCAGTAGCGTGAATGGGACATCATTCACCACACATGTTCTCTTCTACTCCTTCCCTCCACTCAGCACAAGCTACTCATGCCTTGGTGCATAAGCAATTTGTATCGAACCTAGAGAGAGGACTGGGTGGGAAACTCAGAAACCCCAGTCAGGTGTCCTCCCTCAAACATTTCCCATCATAGGAGGCAGAGCCCTTGCCTGTTGAGTGGCCTCCCTGCTGTAGAAGTTCAGAACCCAACCTTTGGAGTCAGACCATTAGGAAGGTTATGTAGCTAGCACACCCTTGCTCTCCCTTCTTCACGGGATGAGAAAGGATGCTTGGATAGAGCTACAGTGACCTCACATTTACCTCAATGGCATTTTGTGCTGCCTGCACATCTACTCACGTGCAGGGAGTGGGGGTAAAAAAGGGCTCTGTTAGGCCTGGTGGGGGAATCTTTTCTTCCAAATATACCCATGTTATACTGTTGAGACATCTGATGGGGGGTGGGAGGGAGAGTAACAAAACTTCTATATAGATTAAAAAATAATAATAAATAATGACACTGTTTCATTTGAAAAACAAAAAAGGAAAATATTATAAATACTAGATCTACTGGCAGTTGAAGTGTATGTGTATTATATAATGTTAGCAATAATATAGACCACATTAACTGTGTCTTATCCCTGGAGGGAGCTCTGCTCACATATTTCCACAGTGCTTTCCAGCACTGACTCTCTCAGACTTTTAATTTTCAAGCCCATGTTCTGTTCAGTTTTCACTTTTATTCTTACAACCAAATGAAGACAGTCTCTGACTCAAACTTAAAACAGTCACATCAGTGTCCACAAAGCAGTTTCCCCCTTTGTTGGGTTAGCACAGTAAACTGTGAGGGAAACTATCTCGAATTAGTAATGCCACATAAATGAGGGGTTTCTGCCATCCCACCCACCCTGCCATTTGCAAGCACTGTTCCAGCATTTGTAGTTTGGTCCTGGCTCTCAAATAGCCCTCAGTAAGGAAGCATCCTAGAACTCAAGCAGCCCAAGGGACACAAACCATCAAGAAACAGAGAGCTTTCCCCCTTACATGAAACATTATAACATGGCAGACCACTGATCCACCTAGCGCAGTATTGTCTATGCTAACTGACAGCTGCTCTCAATGGATCCAGTGTGAAGTCTCCCCGGTCCTATCTGGAGTTGCTGGGAACTGAACCTGGGGTCTTCTGCATGCAAAGTAGATGCTCTACCTACCACTAAGCTATTTTCCCTTAGTTCCCTTTAGTTATGTAGCTTTCCCCCAACAATGACAGTTAAAAGACCCACCAAAATCCTCCTTCATACCTCTTACCTTATGATGACAAACATGACCAAAGAGTTGCCAACCAAGCCCACCACAAAGACCATGGAGTAGACTGCAGTGATGATTATGGGAATAGCCGGGGAGATGTTGGTGTCATTCTGCTGTAAGTCCTCATAAGCGCCACTACTATTGTTGCCATATTCTGCCCAGTCCACAAGCCAGCTGCTGCTACTGCTGCTAGGTAGTGGGCAAGGTCCTGGGGAGCAGGTAGGGCCCGGCTCATCACGAAAAATATACACTGGGGATTCCATGGAGGGTTTCACCTCCAGCCCAGGTAGAGAAGAGGAGACAGGAGCAGATGAATACACTGGAAAGAGAAGAGTGAAATTAAAAGAGTGCAATTAATAGAGACATCACTAAAGATGATAAAGGTGTCATTGGAACAGTCCTGAACTCCTTCTTAAACATTGTTTTTAACATAAAAGGAAAGAACAGTATTGGGAAAAGGAAAGCATGAAGTGGCAGAGGACGTTCATAAAAACCTGGATTCAAGAACACCACTACCTAGCAAAGTAATAAACTAATCCAGGTTCCCTACTGCACCAAAGTGCTTTTGAATTGAACTCATTTAGTCCTCTAGAAAGCAACGAGAGAAAACTTGATAGACCCCACATACTTCAGATACTAGGTTAGAGAAGAGATTCAAAATCATTGAAGTGTTTGAAACTCCTTTGGACTTTTAAAATACTAGGTAGCACCAAAAACTTGATGAGTTTTCCAGATAAGTTTTAACCCCTCTTAGATTGAGGTACACTGCATCGTTGGCTCAGGACCCGAGATACATTTCAGTTTGCTCTCATTTCATCAGCAATTTTTTGCATATCCAGACAAGGGATTCTTTCCTCTTAGGTAAAATTAAAAGGGGATCTATTTCCTTTTAAAGTACAGCCAGTTTTCTCAAAACAGGTAGAGGGTACAGAATGCATTTCAATAAAATAAAAATCATAAATAAAATGAGAGAAACAGAACAGAAAGTACATTACCTTTTTGTAAAATTCAATGAAAGCAGTGGGATCTCCCAGGAGATATTTTCAGAATTTGAAAAGCATCCTCTCCTTTTCTCTCTCAGTGACTGTTATCTTGGGAATCTGGAGAGTTCACACGCCCTGGGAATGAAGGATAGCCAGGATGCCAAGACAGATCACAAGTATTAGCTCCAAGACTGCAGAAGCTGTAACTGCAGCCTGCACTTTACCTTTGTACAAGCAGTCTCTCACTCACACTCTGTCTCCCACTACACAGCTCAGTATATGCCGGCAGTCCTTGCACACATTCTCCTCCAAGCTCACATGACTTTTCTCTAAACACCACTTGGGAAGAATAAGGCAGCCAGTCCTGCAGCACCTAGGAGATTTTTTAAATGCCACCTTACAAGTTGCTGTCCCACCCTATCCCAGCCTTTCCCCAGGTTTTAAAATGCTTAAGCAATCATATTTCCTCTGTGTTAATTATATAAAAGACAGCAGAAATAACATTTGTGATAAAGCAGATCTGACTGCCCACTTGATACATGTTGAATGCATTCAGGATTGTTCTCGCATTGTGTCCCCTGTTTCATTAAATCCATACAAAGAAGGGGGGCAGAGAATGCGCTCTCCTATGATGCTGCAGAAAGGATAAAACAGAAGCGCATTAGAATATGTTAGATACATTGCATACCATTTAGATGCATTATGGATCTACAGCCGACAACTCCATTTATATTGGATAATGATTTTGTCATTTATTCACGTTGTATTGCAAGTAGATTTGTAAAAAGAAGAAGAAGAAGAAGAAGAAGAAGAAGAAGAAGAAGAAGAAGAAGAAGAAGAAAATAATAATTTGGCACCCTTTATCTGCTTGCTTTATTTATATAACAGCTCAGTGAAGAAAACTTCTGTCCCAACAACAGTGGAGAAGGTGTGACTCTGCAAGTGTTGATGGGTTCCAATATCCATCAACTGCAGGCAGCCCAGCCAATGGTCAAGGACAATGCAGGTTGGAGTCCAGCCACAACGGGATGGCCACCGGTGCCCCATCTCTACTTTTGAGCATTCCTATGGTGCATGAAAGAATACCCTTGTAAGTCAACAATTGTCAAGCTTTGTTGTCATGAATGTCAATAAGTCAAGATGGGCAGGGGGAGAGATTGGCTTAAGCCTATCAAGAAGATTGATCCATATCTGTGCCCTTAAAGAGAAAAGTAAGAAGAGCAGAAGCACAACATTACTGTGGGACTCAGTTCAGACTGGGGCCATGGGAATCTAATGCTATCTCAGGGACAGCCTAAGGCCATCACACTGGATGGCACTAAACCACCAAAGGCTGTGAAACTGAGGGAGCCATTGCCTCCTGGTGGGACTTTTCCAGGATTCCAAAAGGAGAGGCATTGATAGATGCATGTTAAAACCATCCATTTGACAGCCTGACACATCCTCTCCCCCAGCCTGGTTTATGAGCATCAGGGCCCCCTGAGCTCCAGGAATGTGTGGTCTCCTATAAAAACACAAGGCACAATCTCCATTGCACCAGACAGTGCCACTCTGCTTGTGTGAAGCTCCCAGTTATCCCTTTGATTGATAGGATACTCATGTAATGTACCCAACACCACACAAAAGCTAGGAACAGAGATGAGGAGTTTTAAGTTAAGCCTCCTGATACTCCAGTTTTCTTGTTTTATAGAAAGTATAAAAACTGACTTAAGAGGAAGGAAAATGTGCAGGCAATCTTCTACCCAAAGTGTAATGCAGCCTAAGGTGCTCAACTATTAGTATCACCAAATCCTGACCACAGAAAACACTCTGAGGTTCCTATCACGTTCCCCACCACTAATCTACATCATCCATTAATATTTCACCTGGAGTACTGGATGCCTGGGTTAGCAGGAAAGGGGTAAGTCAATATAAAACTTCTGTTTCAGCCATACAAACATGAAAGTTGTAGTAGGGCAGTGTGAGAGCAGAGAGGCAATTACCATACTTATTTTGTAGCAACTGCCCTTTCTTTTATATAGAACATGGACAGATAGACCAAGGACTAGGTGCATGCTGCTATGCTGCTACTGCTCCATGCTTTCAGGGGAGCGCAATTCAGCTTGTGCTAGTCCTCTGCTAGAGAAAATATCTGACAAGTTGTGGACCTACCAAGGGCAAGGTGCCTTCCTTGCCTTGCGAGACTTCAAGAAATTGCAGTTTCCACTTCATCAACCAGGGGCCCAACTCACAGTCAAGATGGCCAATTAAGGCCCTAGATGATTGGGTATCAGGACAGACAGCAACTGTTTGGATACTTAGCTATTATTAATTTGGGGAAATAGATTCATGAATTGTAGATGAATAGAGTTGAATGTGTATCCCAGAGGCCTTTTCATCAATATTCACTGGCAGGATCCCAAAGAACAAAAGCATCCATCATCACAGGAGCAAATATTTGACTTATACTCCTAGGCAATGGTGATGTTTTCCAATGTGATTTGCCTCTAATTGGGAACATGGGAAAACCTCAGTAAGAAAAGAAAAGAAAACCCAAGTACTTTGGTTTCTTTTTATTGTAGGGATGTGAAAGCTGTAGCTCTCCATATGATGTTAGACTCCAGTTCCCATGAGCCTTAGTCAGCTTGGCCAATGGTCAAAGTGGATGGGAGCTGCAGTCACAGAGCAGTCAGACTATGGGGAGTTGGAAGGGATCCCCCAAAGAGATCTCTGATTTAATCCCTTTCACATTGTCTCCATCACACAGAATCCACTTAAACAAGCAAGATGAGCATAGATCTTCTCCACACCAGGAGACCCAGTACCAAGCACCAGCAGCAGTGATGAGGGAAATCTTCATGACAGGAGGCAGTACACACACACAAACAGGAAGGAATTGTATTTATTTAAACCAATGCTTATCACCACGGTGAGCAGAACATTAATAGAGTTAGGGCTAATCCACCCTTCCAATTGCCCCATGCCTAGAAAGCATGGCTCCAAGTGGTTTTCCCCTTGTCCCGCTTCTTTCCCAGGGAAAACCTGCTCCTCTTCAGTTCTAAATCGTATGTGGACCGAGAACTCCCAGAAGTGCAAGCTGGATTTAGAAGAGGCAGAGGAACCAGAAACCAAATTGCAAACATGCGCTGGATTATGGAGAAAGCTAGAGAGTTCCAGAAAGACATCTACTTCTGCTTCATTGACTATGCAAAAGCCTTTGACTGTGTCGACCACAGCAAACTATGGCAAGTTCTTAAAGAAATGGGAGTGCCTGATCACCTCATCTGTCTCCTGAGAAATCTCTATGTGGGACAAGAAGCTACAGTTAGAACGGGATATGGAACAACTGATTGGTTCAAAATTGGGAAAGGAGTACGACAAGGCTGTATTTTGTCTCCCTGCTTATTTAACTTATATGCAGAATTCATCATGCGAAAGGCTGGGCTGGATGAATCCCTAGTCGGAATTAAGATTGCTGGAAGAAATATCAACAACCTCAGATATGCAGATGACACAACCTTGATGGCAGAAAGTGAGGAGGAATTAAAGAACCTGTTATTGAGGGTGAAAGAGGAGAGCGCAAAATATGGTCTGAAGCTCAACATCAAAAAAAACGAAGATCATGGCCACTGGTCCCATCACCTCCTGGCAAATAGAAGGGGAAGAAATGGAGGCAGTGAGAGATTTTACTTTCTTGGGCTCCCTGATCACTGCAGATGGTGACAGCAGCCACAAAATTAAGAGACGCCTGCTTCTTGGGAGGAAAGCAACGACAAACCTAGACAGCATCTTAAAAAGTAAAGACATCACCTTGCCAACAAAGGTCCGTATTGTAAAAGCTATGGTTTTCCCAGTAGTGATGCATGGAAGTGAGAGCTGGACCATAAAGAAGGCTGATCGCCGAAGAATTGATGCTTTTGAATTATGGTGCTGGAGGAGACTCTTGAGAGTCCCATGGACTGCAAGAAGATCAAACGTATCCATTCTTAAGGAAATCAGCCCTGAGTGCTCACTGGAAGGACAGATTGTGAAGCTGAGGCTCCAATACTTTGGCCACCTCATGAGAAGAGAAGACTCCCTGGAAAAGACCATGATGTTGGGAAAGATGGAGGGCACAAGGAGAAGGGGACGACAGAGGACAAGATGGTTGGATAGTGTCTTCGAAGCTACAAACATAAGTCTGACCAAACTGTGGGAGGCAGTGGAAGATAGAAGTGCCTGGCGTGCTCTGGTCCATGGGGTCACGAAGAGTCGGACACGACTAAACGACTAAACAACAACAACAATGCCAAGAAAGCGCACAGAAGTCGAAAGGACTGCACAAAGTACGGAAAGCTCAATTATGCAAATATGACTCCAGGGTATGGTTAAATTTAATGATCCTGTACCACAGAGAAACTTACAATTTAGACACATTAACCATGTCAGGCTGTATATCAAACTCTTTGATCCAGCTCTTAATCCTACCCACAGCTGAAGTCACTGAGACGGCTCTTAATTAATGACGGGTCAGCAGGTAATTAAGGACAACATCTTCACATTTCTTCCAGCCATGCATGCTATCCTTAGTGATATATAACATTTTGGGGAGTAGTCTGTCACTTTTTATATGCAGTAACTTCTTATAGGAAAAATACCCTTTCATATACAAAACTTAGTTGAACTCAACAGGTGTATCTCTGATCTTTTGAAGATCAATATGCACTATCATATAGTTAAATATTGTATTATTATTATTATTATTATTATTATTATTATTATTATTATTATTACATTTTTATTTATAACTTGACCATCTGGCTGAGTTGCCCCAGCCATTCTGGGCAGCTTCCATCACATATAAAAACATAATATTAAAAAGTCACAATAACTTTAAAATAAGCAACTTATATCAAATAAAGAAATATTCAACAATCCATTAGAACCTGTAAAATTAAACAGGTTCAGTAAAATTAAACATCAGCAAATAATAATTAAACATTATGATAAAGAATTACTAATCTATGATCAATAAAAACAGCAAATTACAGTGCATAAAATACCACAAAACATACAAAACCATGTATGAAATGAATTTCATTGTTTTGGGTACACTTGAAAAGCATTGGCAGAATCTGTTTTTATGCAGGCCATGGTCTACTTAGACCCACATCTTAGCTGAATTCTTATTATGAGAAGCAACCCTCTAGGCCAGTGAAAGCTGTATGGTTTTAGCACTTTGGCATCTGCCACCCTGAGCTCCTTTGGGAGGAAAGGTAGGATAGAAATATCCGTTGTCATCATCTTTAGACCAGTTAGGACTGTTAGCGATTACATCTCCCGAATGAATGCCCAAGCTTCACAAAGAACATTGGCCTGAATGTGAGCATGCAGAATCTGAAAAGGGAGCTCACAGCCATTTTGCTGCTCTGTTGCTTTTTGTTGCCATGCTGCACTGACGAAGCCAAGGCGTCACATGTCTCCTGAACCCAAGTTCATGGTTAAACTCTTTATCATCATCATCATCATCATCATCTTTTGAATTTATATACCGCCCTATACCCAGAGGCTTTTCAGACAAAATACAAGTTGTAACCAAGAACAAGCCATGGCTGTAACTCATGATTAGTCTAGAGAGAGCAAAAGGGACCAGGGAGAAAGAAAGTGGTGAATTCAAGCTTTGGCACAGTGTGACATGCAAATCAGGTCAAAGCCTAGGACTAAAAGTGTCTTCCAACAAAATGAGATGCAGAATCATTCAAGAAGGCTGACATTCCTACTATTTAATTCTTCCCATTAGCAGTGTTGCATGAAAATATAACTATTTAGAGAAAACTATTTTATTCTGCTTGATCAATTTAGCTGCACAATCACAGGGCAGGAGTTGTTATAGCATTTTCACAGTAGACCAATTTATTACTAGTTCATCATGCAATATACCAGGACAGTGTGTTAATTGGTAATGTAGCTGTTTTCTCAGGGGACTCTTGTAGTTAGGTGTGTGATATCCTCTGCCAATAGGTGCAGTACATTAGCCTACAGTCAATCTTGCAAGAAAGTGAAGAGGCCTGAATGCAGAGTACAAAATGGTACTTGTGAACCTAGTTTACATTTCAAAACTTAATTTATTACAATTCCTTGGAACTTTATTATTTAGATAAAATCTGAACCTAGCAGAACTGCACTTATTTGAAAGAGGATTCTTACTAACTTTGAATGCTTTTGGGGGGGAATTAAGCCATATTCTTACTGTACCAAGTAGAGACTTAGTATTACTCTATCATTCAGCAGGGATAGTCTGAATGTCCAGGAAAAAAATAACGGATTTCTGCAGACCTGATCTGTGCTGCATCCCTTTCTCAGTGAAGAGGGGGGTGAGGGATCCAATATGTGAAATATTTCTAAGTGAAAGCAGACAGACAGTAGCATTTGAGGTAAAAGGCATTTATGTCTTGAGGATGTTGTACAAAACCATCCTTTGTTCTGACAACAATATTACACCAAGGACCATCCATCCTCTATAACCAGTGGGTATGTCTCAGGTTTCTGAAGAAGCATCTTTCTATGATACTTAGAAATTACAAGGGTTTGTGAATTATACCCTCTAGTCTGACCAAACTAGAGATTTCCACCTAGAGATTTTCTTTATTGTTCCCAAGTGCACAATGAACGAGACAGAGAATTTTGATCTCTCTTAGATTTTTATTCAGGTCCTCTCCCATGTCCACCTGGGAAGCACAGAATCAACGGACAATTGTTTCCTGTTGTTTCCAGCCTGTGTGTGTTGTTTCCTTCATTGTGTGTGTTTGTTTATATTGCATCCTTGAAAGAGAATTTATCTGGAAGCTTACACAACCATGAATGGGGGTAGGGGGTTCTTTTGAGTTAGAATGTTTATCTATGGAAAATGCATAAAGAAATCATTTTATTTTGGAGGCAAAATACCTCTAACTACCAGTTGCTGAGAATCACAAGTGTGAGAGACTCAGTGTTGTACTCAGGTCTTGCTTGTATGCTTCTCATCTGGTTGGACACTGAGAACAGGATGCGGGACTAAATGGGTCTTTGACCTGTTGCAGCCTGGCTTTTCCTATGCTCTAATCATGAAGTACAAATACTGCAATAAAAATAATAATAACACCAGAGAATGCAGAAGAAAACCAAGTTAGAGTCCATGGTGTGGTTTTGTTTTAAGTTCTCTAAAACATAAGGGGAATTAAAAAACAAATCTTTGCCTGGAGCTGGGGGGGGAGACAACTTACAGTGCAATCCTAATCATGTCTCCTCAGAGGTTGGTCCTATTGGATTAAATGGCAACAGGGGTTATTATTGCAGACTTAAGCACCAGGAAGGCCTCCCTTAGGAAAGCACTGCATAAGCAGAATGCCATTACCTTTTTGCCAGTTGCCATCCACTGCACTTCATTCGCTGGGGACACCTGGAGAAGACATTCTGATTAGGATCTAACCTACCCAGGGGCTACTTACAAGACTTATGTGCTATGAAGGGTGACTAAAGAGGAGAAGTGCACACCACAAAGCATACTAGTAAGCCACCACCACCCTAATAAAAGTCTGTTTTATTTTTTAAAATTAAATTAGACTAAATAAATAAGTAAATGTTGTATATTTTAAACTGCCATGAAAGCCTTGGCCGTCACACTCATGTAGTCTGAGAGAGAAGGTGCCGACTGCTCACAGCTATTATTGGACCAAGTTACTCAGAGCTGTCCATGGTCCTGCAACCTCTAGCCAGACTCACTGTGCTCTTTCTCCATGGGCTCCAATATCAGCCCGGAACACGTCCCACATTCATTTCTGTGTCTCATCACAAACTACTGCTGTTGTTTTCACATGCTACACCTTAGGAAAGTGCAGCCAT